GGCGAAACCCCGCCCACGAACCCTGCAACTGCCCCCCCCCTCCACTGTCCTGCTTTTGGAAAACTACAATGTGGCCACCCTACAGTTGACTGTTAACAAACATGATGCAGGGTAACAACTCCATAAAGTTGGAGTTATGCCCTAAAATTCAAGATATTGGGGTAAATGCCCCTGAATGAGTTTTTGTCTCAAGTGATATCACACGAGCAGCGAGAGCAATCACATGTCTGCTGTTTTTGTCCCGAATATCAAGAGTTTAAATATGACTTTATACAACAGTTCAGTAAATAAAAGTTAATATTGTGTTGTATTTTAAACACAATATTGTCTGTTTTTGCTCAATTTTGCCAATATTAGCTATAAAGCCTGTTGTACATCTTCGAGCAGCACGGTGGTGTTTAGTTTCTGAATGAATTTGCGCTTTGAAGGAATCGTGTGAACCAATGAATCAATGTCCCATTCATAGAGAGAGCCGTTTACTTAATTCCTGAATGAATCAGCCGTTTGAACGAATCGAACAAATGAATGACTCTTAAAGACATTTACCGCCACCTGCTGGCAATTTTAGTTTCTTATTTAGAGTATATATATATCGATACTTTCTCATTTAGCACAATAATAGCTTTAATGGGGTCATATGATGTGATTTCAAGGTTTCCTTTCTCTTTGGAGTGTTACAAGCTGTTCGTGCATAGACAAGATCCCTAAAGTTGCAAAGACTAAAGTGTCAAACCCTGGGTTTTAATGTTTTTGTCTCGTCGCTCCGGGACACGGAATCACAGTATGGTAAGTGGCGTAACATTTCCGTCACATGCTTGAGATATTCGGCCAATCACAACGCACTGGATAGCTGGCCAATCAGAGCACACCTCGCTTTTCAGACCTATGAGCTTTGTAAAAATCGACGCGTTTCAGAAAGGCGGGGCATAGAGGAGAAACAATAATGTGTGAAAAATAATGTTTTTTTTTTTACCCACACATTTCATTACACCAAATACACAAAATAATGTTATTTTTAGCAACATCATATGGCCCCTTTAAATTATCTTTTGTGGGTATTTTCACAGCCTAATTTAATTTGCGATTAATTAGATTAGTTAATCGACACATCATGTAGGCTAATTAATTAGATAAAAAAATGAGATCGACGTTAGATCGAAACGTTAGGTTAGTTTGTCATTTATTGCATTTAACATTTTGTAGACCTTAGCCTAAATCACGAACAGAAATCACATTATGGTATTATTTTCCATTACCCTGCGTTGTAATTGATGATTTGAAAATAGGACATATATGTGCATTGTAACATATATATCAAAAACATAACTAAGATAGATAGACAGATAGATAGATAGACTTCCGTTGGGGGGATCGGTTCAAGTCTGGTCAGACGCCCCCACCCCATAAGTCACACTCTGTGTGGACACATCTCACAGTAGATGTGTAGACCTCACTATAAAGCGTTTTTAATAGCGAATTACTAGTCCTATGGTGATATAAATGCCTATAACTAGCCTATTATATCTCATTATTATATCTATTATATCTGAATCTACATTATATCTGATTATGATATTTTTAGCCAATTCAAAGGACAATTCTTGCATTTAAACATTTTGTATGCTTTATCAACATGCTCAGTGCTGAGCACGATTAAATGCATTGAGTGGCTTTTGCACGAATCTATTTCCATGCAGACTAAACAAAGCTGTGATTTTTCCCGACGCCGCTGTATTGGGGCAATTGTGACGTCATGGACTGTATGTGACTGTACGCAGCGCGTGCCGCGGAGCGCGTGCTCTGAGCACATGGAAAAGGGCTCGAGACGAAGTGCCCAAAGAAATACTCCACACCTGAAATGGAATATCAGTAACAAATTATTCAAATCTGGAGTAAAGGGGGTAGGTGTTGCATTATTTTCCCTTACCTTGCGTTATAATTTTGATTTTATTTTATGTGCTCATCTTATAACTGAAGCATAAAATTGATGCTTTGACAATAGGGCATATGTGCATGGTATTCGATATATTACATGTATGCTGACGTTAATGGTTTTATAATGCCTATTCACATTATGCAACTAGGAATGCATCGTTTATGAAACAAGTAATTAGTCTAATATATTTCAGTCTGCTTGAATAGAAATAAAGAGCAATTTTATATTCCCACCTGCCAAATATAAAAGAAAGGCTATTATTCTTGCAACAATATTTTAAATGTAGTTTCTCTTATTCTTTTACATGCTATGTTATCTTATGTCTGCTAATCATCTATTTGATGAGTTAAATTTATAATCCATTACATATCATCTTGTCTAGGCTATATTATAGATTGTTAATAGTACTTTTGTATCTTTTAACTGCCATAAGTCATGCATGCACCCATTATTCTTGAGAAAACAGCTGCAACGAGTTGCTCAAATTGAGTTTCTTTTGTCTGTATTTCACAAAGAGATTGTGTGCAGCCACATTGCTCCACTACACCTTAATTGTTTTATATAAAAGGACCACCCTTTCTTAAAATATTATTCCAATAGCATCTCAATAGGCTGATTAACCTTTTTTTTTTTTTTTTTTAAAGAAACCTTCCTAACATATACCTTTATTAGGCATGCATCAAATATTGCAAGAAATGGTTGAAAGCATTCTGCATTGTAAACAGATTTCGGATTTCTTATAAGGTATGAACAAAGCAAGTTTCGTCTCCAGCCCAGGGCATAATATTTCTGCAGAACATATAGCATGCACCTGAACAGGCTATCTTTTTCATTTTTTGTTTGTATTATCACCTGACAAATGTATGCAGAGACTTTGCAAAGTTGCCTAACAGGTGTACATTGCTAAGGTGTGGTGCACAGGTCGGCTCAGATTTGTATGTACAACACATTTTAATATGCAATATGCAATTTATGCAATATTAAACACCCGGTGTGTACATGCAAGTTGACTGCAAGAGCAAAACTATGTCTAATATATTTAAGGCTCTATCATAAGTATTCTATTACAGCAAAAGTAAGCAGTTGCTTGTAAGCAGAAAAAGAAATAGGTTCCCCTGGCCTGGCCCATCCTTCTCCAGGTCCACATGGTTCCCCTTGGCAGTGACAGAAGTCTGACTGAGGGAGGTAGACCACACACTAACACACAGTCAAGGTCTGTCTCGGCTTCAGGGTTAGTCTGAGACAAAGGAGTATGATGCAGTAAAGACCATGCTTAACATTGTCAACTGTTTTTGCTATGAATATAAATGTAAATATACGGGGCCTCTGATATAGGACTGAAATAGTAAGCTATTATATAATTATCACAACCCACAAATGGAACCAGTAATCACTAATAGACCTTCTAAGTAGTGGATAATACACTTTGTCCTCTTGGCAGACACTTTTTATCAAGTGACCTGCTTTACTTGGCACATTTAGAGTGTATTGGTGCGTCACCTGAATATCTTCTTGTCTTGTTAAACTCTCTTTGTTAATGTAGTAAATTAAACATAATGAAGAGTAGTACTTGCACTATTACTTTTTCTCAAACTTTGAACAAACCTAACTGAAAATATTAAAATGCTTTGTGCTGTATGGACATTAATGATGGTGCGAATCCTGTAGCCTGTTGAGCAAAGGTGTGCCATTACTATTCTATTTGAATCAGACTGACTGTTTTCATCCGGTGGACCATAAAAAGTTGATTTCAGGAGTTCCAAACAGCTTACCAAAGAAAACTAAATGGAAAAGTTCACTCTGGCTCATAAACATCTTCAAAATACCATTGGTCCATGACGAATTCGTAGCTGTGCTCTGAGGCTTCATTTTCTTTGACATCGTCAGACTTGAATAGAAGCATGAACACACTGAAGAGCTGCTTGATAGCAGAAACTGAATTTGTAATTCTAATTAACAGTGACACTGTTTTATCATGTTTAATACTGTACAGCTTCTTGCTTTAAAGCAATCTATTGTATAAAGCGCTATATAACTAAACATGATGTGACTGGAACTGTAGAGCTGGTGCAAACATCCACATTGCTATGACCAGCAATGTGACCAGCAAACATCCATACTGCTGTCATTTTTGTTGTTGCATTTACTGTGTTATTGAGAGGAAAGCATGTTGCACACATTTGCATATTTATCTAAATTATGCTCCCAGCAGATGTTCACAAGCAGTATACCGTTGCTCAGGTATTTCATACCTATTTTTACCCCTAAGCGAAGAATGAAAAAATAAAATGTATATATTGGGGTCTTTAAGGTGTGTTCACATTAGCAAAATTTGACGGGCAAAAAAGATCAATTGTCAACTGATGCATGAAGGAGTGCTCACACAGAAGTCACTTTCAAACCAAGCAGCTTTCTGCTGGTCATCACGGCAAATTCACTCTGATCAACTTGAACACAAGCAAAATCTGTGTGGGGTCTCTGTCTTTTTTGCCCTCATGTAAAACACCTGATCCTGATGGATTTGACAAATTTAAGGATTAGACTCTTATAGAGACGTGATGGTGGGCTCTTTTGAGTCTCATTGTGTTGGCTCAGTTTGCATGGGTAACTGCTCACATTTAACTTTATGTTGCACCCTTATTAAAAACTCTCATCTGATCTTTATTAGTACGTCAGTTTCAGGGAAAAAAGTTTATTAAACATTGTTCTGCGTATAACTTTTGGTATGTGACTTCTGAGAGTGAACTCTAAGAACTCTGTTAAATAAATAAATTGGATCCATCAGCTGTGTTATAGGCTGTGAGAGAGGGTGGAACAGGCTCCTTTGGCAACACAGAGGCCGGCCTGTTTTCGTTCTTTGGATGGTTTTCCATGTCTTATGTAATCCCTCCCCCAGTTTGGAATGGAGGTCGCCACTGCGGCGAGATCTGAGCACACTGCAGGACTGTCTGTCTTTGTCTTCGTCGTCTCCCTCTTTAACCTCTCCCCCCAACTCTGGCCCCTGTAAACAACGACATCACTTCC